ACCTTTCCTTTCTTTGAAGAAAATGTAAATAGATTGTCCTTCTGGGGGTTGGTTGGAAGATGTGAATGCAACCCTTTCATGTTCTTCTGAGGCATGGCGACGACTGATATGCTAATTCCAAGCACAAAGGTCCATGCAAGATGCCTTAAAAAAAGTCTGAAATGAATATATCCTACTTTCTTCACCAAACAGTCATAACAAGCCATGTCCATCAGAAATCATAGAATGAGGTAAGAAAACCGCTACAAAACGTATCAGAATGCTTGCTTAAACCTAAAAATCTCAAGGCTATCTAAATGTATCATAAGGCTACCTAGAAGCTAACAGTAGCAAAAGAATTGCCCTGTATGGCAGAACAGTAGCTTAAAGTAGCATAGGAACATAAAAACAGAAGAAATGCAAACCCAGGTTGCTCAGACAAGCCCAGGTCAAGCGTTGGTCACACCATCTTGGATATTTTGAATCCAAATGATGGAAAGAGGAGGCTCCGCTGTTGGCAGGTTGACAAGAACCAGAAGTTTCTGGGACTAATGAGACCAAACTGGACCTTTTTTGTCATATTGTGAACTTTTTTCTGGAAATGATTTATTTATTTTTTTTAAATCGTGAAAAAGTCGTTTACACAGTTCTTCTGTGGTGGTTGAATCCACTGTAGTTTCCATGCCAGGTCACTAGCTGGCGCTGTGATCTTTGTCTTTTATCGATACGCACACTTCAGTCTCGAGTATAAAAATGGTTGCAGCCAAAATGGTGAACACATGAATGTTTGTTTGGACTGACGTTGAGGTTGGGTGGCTCTTCGTAACTTTATCGCCGCGCAGAAAAACGGTTGAATGCAGCCGCCTATGTAGACTTGACGTCAATTGCGTTTTCCCTGGAAATCATGACATATGTTTCTAAAAACCCATCCCGATTGAAAAACCTTTGGTGTCGGAGAAAAACAACTGCTGTTGTCGTGTAGGCGAACAGCAATGCTTCCATTTCTTTTAAGAACAGGGCCTCAGCGGTGCTTTTTTAAAACTTGTTTTTACTTTTTATCATGGAAGGGAACCAATAAATCTATCCACTCCTGTAGGTGCGTTTGAGATTGTGTGTGTGCATGCGTGTGTGTGTGTGTGTGTGTGTGTGCGTGTCAGAAGTGGATCTTTGTGCTGTCAGCAGGCCACTAATGCGATGTGGTGGGAATGTGTGATATTCCCCAGCGAGAGGAGGAGAGCACTCTCCCAGCACTCAAGCGGCTGCTCCTCTCCGTTGCATAACACGTCTCTGGAAAGAGCCGAGCGTGCCCGTGAGCGCGCACGTACGACAAGAACTGTGGGCTGTTGTTTGGACCCTCATGGGTTCCATGTGGGACCGTTATTAGCACAGGACCGGTTCATGTGAGACTCTGTGGTTAGACGGAGGAAAAGCTGAACGGAGGAGAAGTTTTCTGTGATCAGAAAAGTGAGATTTGCACTTTGTTAGTGAACCTGCTTAATTACAGGCCTATTTCTTGAAGAAATGACATCTTTATGCTGGAATTTTAAACTAAAGTCCTGTAAAGTTGAGAGGGGATGGAGTATTTGTCAAACCTTGTAAAAAAATTTTAAGTAATTTCATGATATATCTCAAACTCTTGAGTATTATGTCAGTTAGGTCTACATTAGTGCTAGCTCTGTGTTAGCATCAATGTTAGTTCCGCATTGGTGCCATGAGTGTTAGCTCTTCGTTAGAGTTAAGTCTGCATTATTTTTAGCGTTAGCTCCAAGTTAGTGTTAGCCCTGCAATAGCATTAGCATTTGCCCTGCTTTAGTGTTAGAATTGGGTCTGCGTTATTCTTAGCGTTAGCTCCACGATAGTGTTAGCTCTGTGTTAGCGTTAGCTCTGTGTTAGTTTTAACTCTGCTTTATTGTTATCTCTACATTAGCATTAGGCCTGCGATAGTTACGTCTGTGTTATTTTAGCTTTAGCTCCGCGTTAGTATTAGCTCTGTTAACGCTATCCCGGGTTGCAATGACTTTTACGCCACTAATTACAGTAATTGCAAAATGCCAAATATTGATTGACAGTTTTTGTGATGATTAATTGCACACAGTGTGATTTTTCTTTTTCCTAACCCCAACACTTATACAAATATTTGCTCATTTTTTCACTTGGAAGTGTCTATATATATATATAT